CAAATGGCTGCCCTGGGCTGGGGCTAGGGCAGGCTGAAGACAGGAGCCAGGAGCTTTTGGGTCTCCCATGTGGGTACAGATACCCAAGGATGCAGGTTTTCTAAGGATGTTCTGTGTTCTAAATTTAAGGAAAGTTTTTCGCTTGAGCTATCTATAGCTTGTACCGATTCGATAAATATTCTTGTGCAAAGAATGGCAACATTTTTATTTTTCCCTGTCTGGTCCCGTCAAAATTTGAAACTGTGACTATTCTTATTTTGTGACAATATACTTACTTGCCTAAGTTCAATAAGGATCTTCTCTCTTTTTACTAGTGCATAATTCCAAACAGCGAGTTAGCAGCAGCGGAGAGCGGACCCCAGAGAGCCGTGAGCACCCGAGCAGCGCCACCCTCACGCCCAGGAGGAGCCGCAGCCGCCAGCAGCGAGGCCGAGACCCGCATCCATCTGCACGCCGCCCCTGAAACCAAGCGCGCACGGCGGTGGACCCAGTGAACTGGTTCCATGTGCGAAACGGCTCTGGTTCATCCAGGGGAAGAGCACGGAGGAAGCGTGTTTGTACCCAGCCTGCGTAAAGCAGAATTACCCAGCGAGGGTCTCGGCAGTGTGGGGCGACACTGGGGTGTGGGCAGCAAAGGGTGCAGACCCTGGTGCAGCTCCAGGGCAAGGCAGCCAACGTGCTGCGGCCAGGAACCCTTCTAGATGCGGTCGCCCCTTGGGGAGAACCCTTGTGGACATGGCCCCCACCTTGTGGAGAACCCTTGTGGACACATCCCCCGCCACGGGGAGAATTCTTGTGAACACGGCTCACGCCGTGGGTGAGAACCCTGTGGACACAGGCCCCGCCTTGGGAAGAACCCTTTTGGACACAGTCCCCACCTTGGGGAGAACTTTTGTAGAAACTGCCCATGCTCCTACTGGGGAGAACCCTTGTAGATGCGGCCTGCACCGTGGGGAGAACCCTTGTGGATGCGGCCCTTGGCGTGGGGCCTGCACTGTTGCACACAAAGTCCATGCGTAGGGGTCCATGCTGTGAGTGGCAGAATCCCAGAAGAGTGGGAGTGGGGAAAAGAAGGAAGGACCTGGTCCCCGCTACCCTCTGCAAGTGCAGCCCCTAGGCCGTGGCCCAGGGCGTTCCCACCCTCCGGTGCAGAAGTGATGGAAGGTGCTGGCGGGCAGGTGGTGGGACAAGGCAGAGCAGGGAGACCATGGGCACAGGCTGCGGAGCAGGACTCACTCCTCACCGAAGACAGCCTGGAGAGGACGGAGGAGCACCAGCAGCTGACCCAAGGCCGCCTCCCGCCACGGTTCCCGCCGATGTCCAGAGGTGGGGCAGGAATGAAAGTGGAGCCAGAGACTCCAACACCAGTGGCTGTTCCCACCCCAGCAGTGGACAGACAATTGGAGCTGCACCTTCCTGATTACTGGAGCACATTGTCAAGGCAGCTTGGGATTTTTATTATCTTTTCCTAAAGATGTCCCTTTTTGGTAATAACAAATGTGTTTAAGAAGAAAAGCCTAGTTTTTCTCAGTACACCTTTCAAGAGTTTTAAATTGTTTCCTATCTGATCAAGTTGAGATGTTTAAGAACTTCATTTCTATATTTGCAGTAAAAGTTTGCAACTTGATTTTTGAAACAGTGAACTTCAATCAGCTCTTGTTAAAGGTTTTAAATTAAAAAAAAAAAAAACAACCCACATTGGTTATGTCACTGAGGTTTTGAGCACGGACATGGGATGAGAGCAGAGGAAGGCTGAAGTCTGCCTGGGTTTGGCTTCCCAGCCTCCAAAGAAGTTTATTTTCATTTTTCTTTATGTAGAAGGCAGACAGTGGGAGTTCTGTCCACTGATTCTCCCTCTGAATGCCTGTGATACCCTGGATTGGGCTGAGCTGCAGCCCGGACCTGGAAACTCGCCCTGGGTCTGCTACCTGGGCTGGCAGGGACCCAAGTGCTCGAGCCATCACCTGCTGCCTCCCAGGTGTGCACCAGCAGGAAGCCAGGACTGAAGGTGCAGTCAGAACTCAAGCCCAGGCACTCTGCTAGGGGATGGGAATATCCCAACTTGCATCTTAACTGCTCAGCCCAAGGCCCATGCCATTCAACAGATTTTTAATTCGAGATTCCTATGTAGTTAATTGCTATATTTGAAGCACTTGTGTAAATAATCAGATTTGTCTGTTGAAACTAAATTTATTTTATAAACAAATTACCTCTTATTCTCTTTTGTAAAACTAGGGGAAACTGTAGAAAAGTGGTTTAGAGAAAAACGATGTCTGTCTGCTGGTAGAGTGTAACCCTGTCTGTTGTTTTAGAGTTATTCTCTCTCTTGATGTTGGACTGGATCCTGACTTCTGGTTTCCTCCAATATGTGGCTACCACTCTCTAGCTAGGAAGAGGACTGTGTTATAAGACATAATCAGGCTAATCATTTCACGAGCTCCCTCTTATAGCCAAGAGCCAAACAAGATTTGTTTGGACATCTGAGTTCTAGTTTGTCACTGATGCAAATATGACTAGAAATTTACATTAAATGCCCGTACGGATTCAACTTCAATGGCTGTTGCCACTCAACCACACTCACTCAATTTCTTTGCTGAAGTAGTCTTAGGTAACAGAATTAGTCTTAATTCTCTAGTAGGCAGACAAGATGGCTAGACTCATGTAAATTCTGGGGGAGCTGAGAGTAGGCTGAGTGGCTACAGTAAGTCTCACCCAGTTCTTTGATTTATTTAGCTGGTTCCCCTTCAGGCTTGGGTTCATCATTTTAAACCATTTTACAAACTGAAGTTATCATTTGACTATTAATTTTACTTAGCATGGTCATTTCTGAACATTGTACCTGATCCTTGAAAGTCTCTGAAGTACAACTCCTAACTGGATAATGCTGGTCCAGCTCTGTGAGAGGATAGCCAATGCCCATGGAACAAGCCAAAGTGATTTTAACAAACTCCAGGCAGCCTGGGTTCTGCGAGCCACTTTTCTGGACCTTGTCACTCAAACATGGGCAAAGACTTGACATCAGCTCAGTTTCCAACCATTCCCAGATCAACCAGAACAGGTCCATCCTGGCGTCGAGGGACAGTCAAAACCACACTTGAGATTGGGTGGTCGACAATGCTTTTGGAGAAGAAGATGGACCACAAGGGGGAAATGGCGTCACTTACGTCAGACCCGAACCAAAGCAGAGCTGGGAGGTCCTGGAGATGTCCTGCTTCTGCGTCTCAGAGAATTCCTGAAAACACAATGTAACTCTGCCCTTTAAATAAATAACTTTTGAAACAGAAATATGTGTAAGTTACATGTGTTTTCAAAATGAGTGTCTGCAAGAGTTAGGTGTTGCCATGGCCAGTGAGGACAGCGAGCCAACCTGGAAGCAAAGATTGTATTTACTCGCAGCCCCATGGTAAAAGCAAGAGGCAAAAAGAAGAGGGGCTGGCTCACTAATGTTCTGAGTGACAGTTAGACAGGAGAATCCTATCTGAAGGAGGATTCCTACTTGTCTAGTGAAGGCAGGCCGGAGAGGAGGAAGAGGGGAGAATGACAGGAGTGGCAAAGGCGAGTTTGATGGCAGGAGGTAGGTACCTTGGCCAAGGCTGTTGATAAGGAAGCCTTGGTGGAGGCCCCTGGGAGGTTTCTCAGCTGAGGGCCCAATAAGGAGACCTTTGAATGAAGGCGCCTGGGCTGGGATGCAGCTTGCATGCGAGCTTGGCAGGCCGGTGATGGCGGGAGCCTGGCAGTTCTCTGGGTGGCTTTAGTTTACTAGTCAACATGGTAGTGTGTGGCTTACAAGATAACAGTGCAGAACTTCATTCTCTGTGACTGCATCCATCTTTTTTTTTTTTTATGACAGGCACAGTGGACAGTGTGAGACAGAGAGAGAGAAAGGTCTTCCTTTGCCAAGGGTTTATGTGCAGGAGGTGGGGGACATGGCTAACTCCAGGAGCCTTCCAGGTCCGACTCAGGCACCTCCTTGTCTCCATGTTCCTTGGTGCAGGTCCCTGAAGGCCTGATGCTCTTTGTGTTGCAGACGCTTGCAGGCTGACTCTCCCGTGAGCTCCCCGCTGCTGGGTCCAAAGTTCTTGACCTGGAATGCTCTCCCCTCTTCATTCCCCTGCTCCGTGTATTCCAACGTTTGAGGAATGACTAAACGACACACTCTAACTAGACACCAGAGTCACCTCCTTCAGAGCCTCTGACTCTCCTGAAGGGGGCCCTCTCTCCTATGACCCCTGGACCGAGGTGGGCCGCTGAACACAGAAGCCAGGCCTCCCTCACCTCTGTGCCATCCCCGGCAGTGTTAGTGCCAAGCTGGCTCAGGTAACACCTAGAGAAAGCACCCCCTCCTGGGGAAGAGACTCACCCCTGGGGCAGACACAGCCTGCATGAGATTCCAGCCCTGACACCTGCTACCTCGGCCCAGTTCCTTTCTCACCATTAGCTTGCTGGTCAGTAAAATGACCTGCTGAGTCCACAAATGAGGTTCAATGCCACCCAGCTGAGTCGTCAGGGTAGGCATTATCCCTTCAACCCGAGAGAGAGAGAGAGCAGGGCAGGCTAGGCCCCTGAACATCTGGTACTTGGTAGTCCAGGAACCTGAGCCAGGTGGGCGAGAACGAGGAGCTACAGAGGGAGTGGTCCTTCTCGGCTCCTCTTTAATGTCCCTCTGCCCCGCCACGCATAAGTCAACTAGAAACAGCCCAAAGCCTGAACGAAATACTGGTGGCTGGTGAATGCCAGAGAGAATCTGAGAAAGATTATGCGGATGATAAATCGAGATTATGATAAATCAGTTATGTTTTATTTGGGAGGTGCATCAGAACTGGGAAAGTAGAAGTGGAATATGGGAGGTATCACAAGGGGCTCCATCGCCCAGCTCGGCAACCTTGAGAGGCACAGCAGGTATGTCCAGCAGCTACCTCAGGTCTCCCCAGAGGCTGCATTGTTCTGGAGCTACCAGGCCTTGCAGAAATGCGTGGAAAGACAGGAAGAAGGCTGAACTGATCTGCCTGGCTCTCTGCTACTTTCCATTCCCTTTAGTCAAATTGCACCCATGGCTGTTAACGTCCCTGCAGTCCCACGTTGCTAGCAGTTGCTCAGTGGACTCTGCCTTCCATGCCCTGCGGTGGGGCACGCCATCCGTGTCTGAAATGGTGACAACACAAAAACTCTAGACGTGTGGCAGGTGAGTGCCAGAGAGAATCTGACGCTGTCCATATGACAGGTCCAACACAGGCCACTGTTGGGTTTCTCAGTTTCCAGAACAGGAAATAAAGCATAGTGATCCAAGATCTTTCCCAAAGGCACAGGACTAGGAAGTGCTACGCTCAGGGCTTCAACATGGTCTGGCTCTGGAAACTGAGCGATCAGGAAAGAGAAGTCAGGTTTTGTTCAGCAGGCGAAACAGTCGCTGAGGGCTTTCAAGCTGGGGAGTGACATGAGATGATGAACCTTTCAATGAGCTCCAGTCTCTGCTGTGCTCCACGTTCCATCTGTCTCACATTGGCAGAAGCAGGTGGCTCCAAAGAGGTGAGGGCATCGAAATCGTTGTGGAGGTTTTTGAGGGGACCCTGACTGAGTCCAGAGCTGCATTTGGACTTTAAAAAAGCCTTATAATCTTCTCTGTCATCATGCAAGCCTACACCTACCAAGGACATGAGCTGGGCAGGGGTAGGCAGGATTTGCATACAGAAGAGGACGTTGACCTAAAGGCCAGGAAGAAGAATATTATCCATCTGTTCGCCGTCAGCCTGCGGGTCTGGAGATCCTGGCATCCGCTGATGAATCCTTTGGTGTTGTCTGAGATGGTCAGACCTCATGAACTGTCGGCCGCACTGCTCACATCTGTGTGGTCGGTATCTGGTGTGTATCCGTGAGTGTCGTGTGAGCTCGTCAGATCGGAAGAAAGACCAGTTACAGCCTTCCCACTGGCATTTATAGAGCCTGTCACCTAGGGGGTGGCAAGAGAGATGAAATTAAGAACAGACCAGCGGGTGGGAAGGAAGGGGTCCAACTACACGAGGCAGAGAAGGGTGGGGAATCAGAAGGGAAGATACAGGAACGCAGTGAGGGGGCAACACAGCAGCAGTAACCTCCCCATCATCTTGGCGGTCATTAGGCACACAAGTCAGTGGGCCTACATCGCTTGGTGCCAGGCTTAAAAATGAAGGGCTAGTGCTGGAGCTACGAGGCCCAGCAGGTTAAACCAGTGCTTGCAATGCTGGTGCCGGCATCCCATATTTGGGCCCTGGTTCAAGTCCCAGCTGCTCCACCTCCTGTCTAGCTCTCTGCTAGTGCCCTTGGGAAGGCAGCAGGGGATGGCACAAGGACTCCCACATGGGAGACCCAGGTGGAGTTCTGGGCTCCTGGTTTCAGCCTGGCCCAGCCCCAGCTGTTATGGCCATTTGGGGAGTCAGCCAGTGGCTAAAAACCTCTCCCCCTCTCTTCATTCTCCCTGTCCAACAAATCTTAAAATAGATGGGGGTGGGGGGGATAATCCCAAACCATTACAGAAACCCAAAGCCCAGACTCCTCCACCCTGCCCCACCCCCTCACTGCATTCACCTGTGTGCTTGCGCTCATGACTCACGAGGTGTGACCGCTTGGTGTAAGCTTTTCCACAGTTCTCGTACTGGCAGATGTAAGGCCTTGAAACCGGGGACCTCCTGCTGGGCTCCCTTTCTTGGGCCCAGGAGTTGTCCACTCCCTGTGCTGCAGGTGTAGGCTGCTCAAGTAGGAAGAAGTCTTCCTGGGGGGCTGGTTGGCTCACAAAGGATCCCTGAGATTCTAAAGGCAGCCATAATGGGGACCCAGCTGCGGGTATCCTGAGGTTGTGCGGCTCCCTGGGGGGCAACACTTGAGCCAGAGAGGGGAGCGCAGACAGAGCCTCGGTGGAAGGTATGGTTGGGGTCTGCAACATTTTAGGTGCTAAAGAGGCGCAGTTAGAAGGTCCCTCTAGGGGGTCAGAGGAAGGCATCATCGGGGCCCTGTTGTGGGACATCTCTGGGATCCCTTTGGACACAGACACTGGCAGTCCGCTAGGGGGCAGCCCTAGACTCCCACTGGAGGGCATGTTTACCTCTGGAATCCTGGGCTCTAAGGGCATCATCTGAGGCATCATCATGCCTGGCTGAGGGGGGAGCACCCCCTGGTTGTAAATCATCTGTGGAGAAGGCAAAGTGGCCTGGGAGCTGTAGCTCATGCCATGCTCCTGCAGGTTCATGCCAAACTGCGACCCCACTCCTCCCTCACCCAGCATGGGTGCCTCAGCAGGCAGTAAGGGGGCCCCCAACATGTCTGTGCCCTGAGTGAAGTGTTGAGTGCTGGGCAGGCCATAGCTACAAGGTTCATTCACTCCACTGCTTCCGGAAGATGGAAATATGTCCAACATGTGCATTGACTGCTCAGTGTCCTTGGGGAGAAAGGGAGAGAGAGAGAGATAATCCAGTGAAACCCACGCCACCTCGGCTTTCAACTCCACATAGCGCTCCACCCCAGTCTACAGCCAACATCTCTGGCCTGGAGCTTCCTCCCTGGAGACTGCTCTCTGGCTCCTGGCTGGGCTCACAGGAGCACAGTGGATGCTTACACACGACTGTGCCACCTTTCCTCCTTTGCATGTTTTTGGTTTTCATTTCATACAAAGACACAAAAAGAATCAGCAAAATACTCCCTACCCCACATCTTTAGAAAAACACTGAGAAAATGCACGGACTACAAACTATGACTGATTGGTATGAAGAGTAGCAAAGAAGGCATTGGTGGGAGAAGCTCTTGAAATAGGATAGATCAAAGAATCCTAATTTTTTTTAAGATTTTATTTATTTATTTAAGAGGCAGAGTTACAGACAGAGGAAGACACAGAGAGAAAGGTCCATCCGCTGGTTCACTCCCCAAATGACCACAATGGCTGGAGCTGCACCTATCCAAAGCCAGGAGCTTTTTCTGGGTTTCCCACATGGGTGCAGGGGCCCAAGGACTTGGGCCATCTTCCACTGCTTTCCCAGGCCATGGCAGAGAGCCGGATTGGAAGAGGAGCAGCCGGGACACGACCTGGCACCCATATGGGATGCCAGTGCCACAGGCGAATGCTTAGCCTACTACACCACAGCACTGGCCCTAAAGAATCCTATTTTTAAAGGCTGTCCATTACTATAGGAAGACAAGAGGGAGCTCTTGAGTTGAGAAATTGGAGGCCTACTCCCCCACTGCTGTTTTTGTTTGTTTGGTTTTGTTTAAGATTCATTGTTTGTTTGAAAGTAGGGTTACACAGAGAGAGGAAGAGACAGACAGAGACAGATCTTCCGACCATTGGCTCACTCCCCAAATGGTTGCAATGGCTGGGGCTGGGCCAGGCCGGAGCCAGGAGCCAGGAGCTTCTTCTGGGTTTCCCATGTGGGTGCAGGGGCCCAAGCCCTTGGCCTATCTTCTACTGCTTTCCCAGGCGCATTAGCCAGGAGCTGGATATAGCAGAGCAGCTGGAACTCGAACCGGTGCCCATATGGCGTGCAGGTGGTCGCTTTTCCTGCTACACCACAACACCAGCCCCTACTCTTCCATTTCACATCCTCTCCTCCATGGGTACAGTGCAGAAAAGAGCAATTCATTCAAATATAAAAGCCAAAACATTAAAAAGACAGTATTCAGGGGCAGTCCTTTAGCAAAGTGGTTAAGACTGCCTGGGGCTTCTGCATCCCCTATCAGAGTGCCTTGGTTCAAATCCCATCTGTGCTTATGATTCCAATTTCCTGCTAATGCTCGCCCCAGGGGGCAAAGGTCATGGCTAGAGTGCTTTTTATGTCATATTTATTTTAAAAAGCAGATGATGGAGAGAGAGATCTTCCATCCACTGTTTCCCTTCTCAAATGTCCACAGGAGTCAGGTCCAGGGCAGGCCAAAGCCAGAAGTAGAGAACTCCATCCTGGTCTCCCATGTGAGTGGCAGGGGCCAAAATACTTGGCCCGTGTCCTCCTGCCTTCCCAAGCAAGAAGGTTGATCAGAAGCAAAGCATCTGGGACTCAGAGTGGTACTCTGGTGTGGGAAGCTGGCATCCCAGGTAGCAGCTCAGTCACACCACAACACCAGCCCCCGGCTCAAGTACTTGGGTCCCTGCCATCCGCGTGGCAGATCCAAACCGAGTTCCTGGCTGCCAGCTTCCACCTGGCTCAGTCCTGGTTCTTGTGAGCATTTGGGGAGAAACTGAACGCATAGGAGGGGCGTTGGTGCTGCTGGCAAGGTTGTTTCTTGACCTGTGAGTCATTTTCCAGGTGTTTACTTTGTAATAATTTGCTAAGCTCTCCACATAATTACTTTTCTGTTTGAGAGCTATTTTATAAAAATGAACTAAAATTAAGTTATATTGTGAGAAATCAAAATTCTCAGCATAAAATGAAAAAATGTTATAAAAGCAGAGAAGTAAAAACAAAAGTAAACTTAAGTAGAAAATGCTGTGCAAATTCAGAATATAAATACCCACACAAGAGGAGACTTCAAAAAGTTCATGGAAAATGTTAAAAGGTGAGTTCACTTGGTGCAAATTTTTTAAAAAAAAAATTTAAAAAGATGTATTTATTTGAAAGGCAGAGTGAGGGAGAAAGACAAAGAAGAGAAAAAGCTTCCATCCACTGGTGTACACGCCCCATGGCCACAATGGTCCGGGCTCAGCCACACTGCAGCCCAGAGCTGGGAGCTCCATCCAGGTCTCCCATTTGAGTGACAGAGTACCAGATACTTGGGCCATCAAGCTGACCAGCATTCAAAAGGTTCATAGACAAACAGGTGCTTGCTTCGGCAGCACATATGCTAAAATAGACAAACAGAATTAAAAGGTAAGTTTGGGACTGAGGTTGCGGCACAGCAAACAAAGCTGCCAGTTGAAATGCTGGAATCCCACTTCAGAGTGCAGGTTGGAGCCCTGGCTGCGTCGCTCTGGATCCAGCTTCCTGCTAATGTACCTGGAAAGGCAGTTTGGGCCCCTGCCACCATGTGGGTGACCAGGACTGAGTTCTGAGTTCCTGACTTCAGCGTGGCCCAGACCAGGCTGCTGTGGTCATTTGGGGATTGGACCAGTGTATAGGAGATTTTTCTCTGTCTCTTCCTCTCTGTCACTCTTAACAATAAATAAATAAATCTTTAAAAATATATGTGTAGGCCAGCGCTGTGGCGCACTTGGTTAATCCTCCTTCTGCAGCGCTGACATCCCATATGGGAACCGGGTTCTAGTCCCGGTTGCTCCTCTTCCAATCCAGCTCTCTGCTGTGGCCCGGGAAGGCAGTGGAGGATGGCCCAAGTGCTTGGGTTCCTGCACCCACATGGGAGACCAGGAGGAAGTACCTAGCACCTGGCTTCGGATCGGAGCAGCGCCAGCCGTAGCGGTCATTTGAGGAGTGAACAAACGGAAGGAAGTTCTCTCTGTTTCTCTCTCTCACTAACTCTGCCTGTCAAATAAAATAAAATATTTATTTTAGTGCAAAAATTTTTGAAATTCATGCATAGTTTTTCATAATATAAATTTTTCATGAGCTTTTGAAAAAAATATTTAATTTTTTTCTTTTTAAAGATTTATTTATTTGGGGCCAGCGCTGTGACACAGCAGGTTAATGCCCTGGCCTGAAGTGCCAGCATCCCATATGGGCGCCGATTCTAGTCCTGGCTGCTCCTATTCCAATCCAGCTTTCTGCTATGGCCTAGGAAAGCAGTGTAAGATGGCCCAAATGCTTGGGCCCCTGCACTCGTGTGGGAGACCTGGAAGAAGCTCCAGGCTCCTGGCTTCGGATCGGTGCAGCTCATCTGGGGAGTGAACCAGGACGGGAGATCTCTCTCTCTCTCTGCCTCTCCTCTCTCTGTGTAATTCTGACTTTCAAATAAATAAATAAATCTTTTAAATAAATCTTTAAAAATTTTATTTATTTATTTCAGAGGCAGTTAGAGAGAAAGAGAGAAGTCTTCCTTCTACCGGTTCACCCCCCCACAAATGGCCACAACAGCTGAAGCTGAGCCATTCTGAAGCCAGGAACCAGGAGCTTCTTTCTTCCAGGTCTCCCACATGGGTGCAGGGGCCCAAGGACTTGGGCCATCTTCCACTGCACTCCTGGGCCACAGCAGAGAGCTGGATCGGAAGAGGAGCAATGGAGACACAAACTGGCACCCATATGGGATGTGGGTGCTGCAGGCAAAGGCCTAGCCTACCAACCCACAGCACCACCCCACAGGGGCTTTTTGAAGATAAGCTTATAATGCTATAACGAGTACTCAAACAGTATATTTCACTTTGTGTTTCTATGGGAGTGCAAACGGTTGAAATCTTTACTTAATGTATACTAAACTGATCTTCTGTAAAAAAAAAAAAAGAAGAAAAGAAAAGAAATTATCAATTCCCAACTTGACTCTCACTGGGATTAAACATGACAATAGGTCTGATCTGATTTCATCATCATTTAAAATAAAATCATCTATTATTTTTCACTTTATGTTTCTGTGTGGGAGCAAACTGTTGAAATCCTTACTTAATGTATACTAAGCTGATCTTCTGTATATTAAGATAATCAAAAATGAATCTTGATGTGAATGGAAGGGGAGAGGGAGTGGGAAAGGGGAGGGTTGTGGGTGGGAGGGACGGTATGGGGGGGAAGCCACTGTAATCCATAAGTCGTACTTTGGAAATTTATATTCATTAAATAAAAGATAAAAAAAAAAGATAAGCTTATCAACTTCAGCAATCCTAGACTCCAAAAATAAAGGACTAATGTATTCAAAGTGGAAAGGGAAAAAAAAAAAAAGATCAACAAAATCTTGCATCTGTCCTTCAAAAATGAAGAAATTAAGAGATTCCCGGATAAACTGAGATAGTCACCACTAAATCTATTCTGAAAAAAATGCTTCAGGTTAAAATGAAAATACTAAACAGTAGCTTGAAGCCATATGAAGAGATCTGTCTTAAGAAAATAAAAACATGATAAGAGGGGCCGTTGCTGGGTTAACACCCAGGCCTTAAGCGCTGACATCCCATATTGCCACCAGTTCGAGACCCGGCAGCTCCACTTCCCATCAAGCTCTCTGGTATGGCCTGGGAAAGCAGTAGAAGATGGCCCAAGTGCTTGGGCATCTGCACCCACGTGGGAGACCTGGAGGAAGCTCCTGGCTCCCGGCTTCAGATCGGTGCAGCTCCGGCCGTTGCCGCCAACTGGGAAGTGAACCAGCAGATGGGAGACCTCTCTCTCTCTCTGCCTCTCCTCTCTCTATGTAACTCTGACTCTCAAATAAATAAATAAATCTTTTTTAAAATGATAAATAAATGGACAATTATAAACAGGAGTGTTTTTGTAAATGGTTTTTTTTTTTTTTTTTGACAGGCAGAGTGGACAGTGAGAGAGAGAGAGACAGAGAGAAAGGTCTTCCTTTGCCGTTGGTTCACCCTCCAATGGCCGCCGCAGCCGGCGCACTGCGGCCGGCGCACCGCGCTGATCGGATGGCAGGAGCCAGGTGCTTATCCTGGTCTCCCATAGGGTGCAGGGCCCAAGCACTTGGGCCATCCTCCACTGCACTCCCTGGCCACAGCAGAGAGCTGGCCTGGAAGAGGGGCAACCGGGACAGAATCCGGTGCCCCGACCAGGACTAGAACCCGGTGTGCCGGTGCCGCAAGACGGAGGATTAGCCTAGTGAGCCACGGCACCGGCTTTTTTTTTTTTTTTTTTTTTTTTGACAGGCAGAGTTAGACAGTGAGAGAGACAGAGAGACAGAGAGAAAGGTCTTCCTTCCGTTGGTTCACCCCACAATGGCCATTACAGCCGGCACGCTGCACCAATCCGAACCCAGGAACCAGGTGCTTCTACTGGTCTCCCATGCGGGTGCAGGCGTCCAAGCACTTGGGCGCCATGGCTCACTTGGCTAATCCTCCGCCTTGCGGCGCCGGCACACCGGGTTCTAGTCCAGGTCAGGGCACCGGATTCTGTCCCGGTTGCCCCTCTTCCAGGCCAGCTCTCTGCTGTGGCCCAGGAGTGCAGTGGAGGATGGCCCAAGTACTTGGGCCCTGCACCCCATGGGAGACCAGGATAAGTACCTGGCTCCTGCCATCGGATCAGCGCGGTGCGCCAGCAGCTGGCGGCCACTGGAGGGTGAACCAACGGCAAAAAGGAAGACCTTTCTCTCTGTCTCTCTCACTGTCCACTCTGCCTGTCAAAAAATAAAAAATTTAAAAAAAAAAAAAAAAAAAACCTCGTTGCTCATGGCACCGGCATCTCACATTGGGGCACCAGTTTGAGTCCCAGATGCTCTGCTTCCAATCCAGCTCCCTGCTAATGGTCCTGGGGAAGGCCAGAGAAGATGGCCCAAGTGTTCTCTGTCACTCTGCTTTTCCAATAAATTTTGTTTTTAAAAAAAGAGACTTCACTGTCTAGAATGGGCAAACTAGCAGAGTGAGGAAGCAGAAGACTTGAGCAATACAAAAAACCAACGGGATCTGGCAGACACAGAACCAAGCGCCTCGGCCTGGCCTGGGCTGCAGCTGGCCTCCCAGCCACGCTCTCCAGGCTGGAAGCTTCCTTTTATAAATGCAGATCAACCTCTTACAGACATTAACCTAGCAGACGGAGGGAGACCCTACAAGGTCCCTAATCACCAGGTGCATGAGACCATTTCTTTCCCCTCTTGTCTTGGAGTCTCGCCTTGAGGGGTTTATTTTCCAGGAACCACAGGCCCCAGGCAGGAACCACAGGCACAGCCCACTTTGCCAACACCAAATTTCCTTAAAGGACATGATATTAATGACCAAGCCAAGGAGGGCCATGGGCATTGCAGATCAACCAGGAGCTGGGATACAAGCTGAACACACACCCCTGAGCCCCGACTTTAATCCCTAAGAATCATTACCCCTATGCTCGAGGAGCTCAGGGAACAGGGCTGGGGAAACTTTTCCTGCTAAGGGACATTTGGATATTTATAACATCACCTGCGGGCATACAAAATTATCAATTTAGGGCTGGTGTTGTGGCACCATGGGTTAAGCCACTGCCTGCAACACTGGCATCCCATATGATTGCTCATATGAATATCAGCTGCTCCACTTCTGATCCACCTCCCTGCTAATGTGCCTGAGAAAGCAGTAGAAGATGGTCCCTGCCACCCACATGGGAGACCTGAGTGGAATTCCAGGCTCCTGGCTTTAAGTCTGGCCCAGCCGGCCCTGGCCATTGCCGTCATTTGGGGAGTGAATTCATGGATGGAAGATCGATCTCTGTCTCTCTCTCTGTAGCTCTGACTTTCAAATAAATAAATAAATCTTTCAAATAAAAAAATCAACTTAAAAATTATTCTGGTACAGATGTATTGAATTGAGTCCCACCTGCAGTTGCTTTGACAGGACCAGACCAAAGGATTTAGCAGGCCCTGTGCTGCCCCAGGGCCAGAAATTCCCCATGGGATTAAGCAACAGTTGCTGTTTAAGCAACCTTCGCCGGGAGGAATGTTTTGCACTTTGCATGTAAATGCTTACTTTCTTCTATCACTCCAGGGGCAGTAACTGGCTTGTTTACCCTGGGTGAGCAGACCCAGCTTTGGGTGTTCTAGTTTTGGAATGTTCTATATGGGACATATACAAACACTCTGCTCACATTCCTGGGAGCTGGTGTTGTGGTTGCAGCAGGTGATGCTGCTGCTTGCAATGCCAGCATATCATAGCAGAGTACTGGTTCCAGTCCCGGCTGCTCCACTTCTGACCCAGCTCCCTGCTAACGCACCTGGGAAAGCAGAGGAAGATGGCCCAAGTGCTTCGGCCCTACATGGGAGACTTTACTAGAGATCCAGGCTCCTGTCATGGGCCCGGACCAACCCTGGCCATTTTGGTTATTCAGGGAGTGAACCAGCGAATGGAAAATCTTTCCCTTTTCTTTCTTTCTTTTTTTTTTTTTTAAGATATTTATTTATTTGAAAGGCAGAGTAAGGGGGAGAGGAGAGAGATACCCATCTTCCATCCACTGGTTCATTCCCCAAATGTCTGAAACAGCAGGGGCTGAGCCAAGCTGAAGCCAGGAATGCAGAATTCCATCATGGGTCTCTCCTATGTGAGTAGCAGGGACCCAACACTTGGGCCATCTTCTGCTGCTTTCCCAGGTGCAGGAGCAGGAAGCTATATTAGAAGTGGAGCAGCTGGGACTTGAACCTGCACTCATACAGGATGCTAATGTCCCAGGCAGCACCTTACTAAGTTGTGTCACAACACCATCCCCTCTTCCTTTCCAATAAATAATTTTTCTTTCAGAACCACAGGTGGCACTTGAACTCAGGCACTCTGATATGAAATGCAAGCCTTTTTGTGTTTTGTTTTGTTTTGTCTTTTGTTTTTTAAGATTTATTGGGGCCGGTGCTGTGGCGTAGCGGGTAAAGCTGCCACCTGAGGTGCCAGCATCCCATATGGGTGCTGGTTGGAGTCCCAGCTGCTCT